TCAGTATAGCTCTCTGGATGACGGACAAAACCTTAAAAATGTTTCATAGACCGTGTTCTGCGGTATAAAAAAATTAAGTTGCGTTTGCGCTTGTCTATTTGTCGCGAAGGTGGGGTCGGATAAATAGTGTTGGCAGCGGTTTCGTTGTCCGTACGTACTTACTGCATTACGCAAACGCGGTTTTGTTATATACGCTGTGCAAAAAATAAATCGTGTTTTCCGACCAACGACAGTTATTATAATATGTATTATTATTATTATATGAAAATTGTTTTCCTTACTGCTGCTATTTCTAGCTAGCCTATTTCCGTGCCACCTTGACCCCCACGCACACCTTGGCCGGAGTCCCTCTATACAGCAATGATAATATATTATACTTAATTATTTTCACACCGATAATACACAGCAAATTTCAATTCGTGCTGTAATGTATACACGCACAGGGTGTGTGTAATCGTACCTATATATTATTTAATATGTAAGCATCGATCCGAGACGATGGCGATTAATGATTTTGCGTCAAGCTTCCGTTTAAATATGGTTATTGCCTATTATTAATAATATTTATTTTTTTGTTCGCGTCCAACGATCGGAAACGCGGTAGATAAATAAAATTATAAACAGTAATCCATCCCGTACACACCAAGTGTATAATGTACACATTGCATTCGTCCGCGCGCTCCGCCGCGCATCGCGGAACCGCATCCGTAGTCCAAAGTAATGATAATAATTATGCACATTCCGCTGCAGCGTTTTTCTCTCTCTCTTTCACTCACTCGCGCACGCAATTATCAAACGTTGTAGTACATTATTAATAAGTCTAAGTGTGTGTATAATGATAACTTACAATGGACCGCGGATACGGTAGTAATTGATGGTCTTATGGTGGGAATGGGCGTCCCACCGCAGCCGAATCGCCAAACTCGTGTCGCGTATATACGATGATCTGGTGGGCCCGGTCGATGGCGGTGGGGACGCCATAAACTAGGTCTCTTCGCTCGGGTGCGCGAATGTGTGTTTGTTTGCGTTGTAAACCTCTGCCGGTCGCTGGAATTGGGTCGAGCTGACCTAGTTTCGAATCGAGCGGCCCGGACTGTCGAGAGATATATTGTTGTTGTTGTAGCGGAATATACATCGTAGAACGTACTAAGTACACATAATATTATTTATATACTCATGTATTATATGGCCGTCGTATTATATATTATTATTTATTATTATAAACGACACAGAGTATAATCTCGTGTCTTGGCAGCTATTGCTGTCGTGTGTTCCGTATTATTTTTGAACATAATATACCCCACTTCGGCGTGACATAATAATTTAACCCGTCGCGCAAACAGGAAAAGGAAAACTTCACCGGCGCGCTCGGTTTGTTTTTCCAGGCACCCGGCCGCTCCGTTAACCCGGTTAATCATTTGACCCGATTACTAAAGTCGCGGCGAGAGAAGGGGAAGAGCAATACGCTCCACCGCCACCGACACCACAACCACCCTCTGGTACTAAACTTTCATCGCGCGGCCGGATGAATTATTGACGGGGGAGGGATCGGGTGGCGGAAAGCAGCAGCGGCTTTATTGTGTACGCACGCGATGCGATTCCACTCGCCGCCGACGCCGATCGGGGCCGGCCCGAGATCGATACCGGCAACAAAGGACGACGATGCAGCGGCGGCGCCCGCGGTTTGTTGTCGCGGGGGCGCTCGGCCCGCCAACGGTTGGCGCGCGTTAAAATCAGCTTTCCGGCCGCCGCACACTCGCGATCGTCGGTGTAATATTATACCGTACCGCCATATGTGTGTGTGTGTGTGTGTGTGTGTGTGTGTGCAAGCACGCGTCGGCGCGGACCGGCGTGCACGCGCGCACTAACCGACACGTGGGTACCGCGTACCTCGGCTTCGTCCCGTCGCCGGTCTTCGCCGCCATCGCGCGCGCGCGCGCTCATCGATCCAATTTTATTCGTCATCGGCCGTCGTTCCCAGTGCGCCAGAAAACCGTGCCTACTGACCTCATTTTTTCCCGGACCATTCCCAGCAGATACCGCGTACGCGCGCTCGGCGGCCCCGCTCGCGACCTGACCCATTTCGACGTGGACGCATGCACACACACACACACGCGCGCGCGCGAGCATACTAACACACATGGTTTCAGCCGCTGCACCGGCCTCATTTCGGCGCGTCCCTTCTTGTCACCGTCGCGGATTCGTCATTGTCGTCCTCATCATCATATAATATAAACCTATTTAATCATCGCTCGTCAAGGACATCATCCATTGCAACCCGCGCCGCGGATCGCCATATATTATTATAATATCATATCGTTGTAAATAATTATAATATCATATCGTTGTAAATAATTATAATATACCTACATATACGCGCGTTATATACATAATATACATTATTACGAAACGCGTTGGTCGATCGCTGCAGCTGTGAACGAATGCACCCCCTCCCCTCAATCCCGCACATGACTGCTGCTGCAGTGTTTCGCGTGTTCGCGTGAAACGTTTCCAGTTTATATTATATATTCACGGTGCAGCACGATAATAATAATTATTGTCTAACAGTGTCATTATGACGATGTGCATATTTTGCAATAGTATATGTATATATATATATATATATTATATAATATTATAAACGTTACTGCAGTACCCGCAGTGCAGGTTGTCGGGTCGGGGTTGACCTTTTGACGAGTTTTTAATTCTTACACATATCTAAAGTATTAAAGTATACCTAGATTATTTACTTCCTCTGCGGTAATAATTTTCGTACTCGTCGTGGTCTTGTTATATTATTTTATCGTACAACAAAGAGGAACTCCTCGCCAATCGATTTGCTATACTACTCTCATCGCGCGTGTCGATTATACGTTTTCGATAAGTTTTCGATGAAATTTCTTCATACCCCGGTCTTCGACTACGTTTTTAACCCAGTTCTTCATTGCGTCGTTTAGAACCAACTTAATATTATTGGTGTACGCCAATGTTTCTCGCGGTAATGACCTTAATGCGTTTATGATATTTAAAATCATGATGCATTGGCACTGAAATTGGTTCTCACGAAGCGCTATATCGATTATTATTGATTCTTGTCCAAGTATTTGAGATTATATTTATCGCGCGATTGGCCTTTTGGTAAAGGCTGTCGGATGATATTTATATGTCATCGTCGTCATCGATTGTTCCATATCAGCATAACCCAAAAATAATAACCACCACCATTTAAATGTATAATAACATCATATCATCTTCCTATTTTTGTTTGAATTATTTAAACAGAATATTCTACTTGCATGAGCAGTGACATAGAGTATTGTTGCTTCTTTATTCTTAATGCCATAATTTGTTCGTGACCGTCAAATGTCAATATTATAACGGCGCGTTCTATCGACATATATTAATATATAAATATTTTAATCATACATTTACGTTTTGAATAAATTTTCTAAACGACTTTTGTGTTTTTTTTTATGTATTATCTATGTATGCAATATTGATCTATGAACAAATTATAGAGAAAGTTGTGTTTAAACACACGTACGATTTGTTTTCTTTAAAATTAATTAGAAATATTAAAATATAATAAATTGCACATATTGCAGTAAAATAATTTATTACGTAATGCCCAATATTAAGAAAATAAATCTTCAAAATAATAATTAAAAAAATTACGTGTTACATAAATTTATCAAATTATCTCCGTTTTGTTATTACATTTCGTTCGCTTTTGTTACGATTCCAAAAATACAATAGTCAGCCACTGCCCACTTGCATTGTGACGCATTACGATTTAACTGCAAAAATATTATTTTATGCAACGTTGCTGCAGTGTTGGTATACTTACGTGCGGACTACTAAACAACTTTCATTTATGCGATTATACGTTATACATTTTTTACTGTTGTTAATGGAATTCATAATATATATACATTCAAATAATAATCATATAAATGCGTAAACTATACAATATAGTTTATGCGAACAATGAACAACATCAAAATGCTAATACGAATAATAAAATATTACTTTAACTAATACTATTCTTAAGGTGACCATTTTTATAAAAAAAATTCATATTTTTAAAGATATTTTTGAGATAATTCTTCCATATTTAACAAAGCAAGTTGTTTGAAAGGATGGCGGTCTTGAGGGTTCTGAATTACTCTATGTATACAGTATACATCACAATCCACAATACGACATGTATCATGCTTATCGCTGAAATTTGTTCATCGACACTCCTCGCTCGTTGTAAAAAAGTTGTTGTTTACAAGTTATAACTATAAACTAAAAAACTATAGAATTATTATAAAATTTTCAATAATTCAATATAAAACTTTAAAAATATTGTTTTGTATTTATTCGTGTATAGGTTTATTCTTTTACGCATGTAAAATAATAATATGGAGATAACCGTATTAAAACGGGACAATTCCGTTGTATATACGTGACGTTAGGTCACCCTATTATATTATATCGTTATCACTTGTTACGATAAATTAATACTTACAATTAAATCAAGTATAAATCAGTAATATCTTCTGATCAGGTTATATTATATCAATACATTCGTTCTTAATTTCATATTGTAGTTCGCCTGCGACAGTTGTATTATATTATTTAATTATAACCGTCATGTTGAATATTTATGCTTTTAGCTCTCGTGATTATTTTTTCGGTTTAGAAAATAATATAATGAATACCGACGGATATGCTCTCATTACTTATTAATTATTATAAATACATCGGAGAACAATTTAATCTCTTGAATGACCTAGAAATATTTTGTTTGTACTAAATGTCATAACTTAAAATGGCATTATCCGTTTATTTAGTATAATAATTATACGTATAATAATAATTATTATCTTCGTTATTCTCGCTGAATTTTATTTGTTACCAACTTTTATTACTATTTTTGTTGTGTGCAAATGAGTGCAATAAAAATAATATTTTTACTATAATATAATCGAACTTTTCTTTTGTTTATGTTGCAGTCGGATTGCCGTACAGTTTTTCAATGCACTTGGCCCGGATGCGTTATGATCACCACTACTGTGGCTTCCATCGAATTACACGTCCGCCAGAATCACCTTGGGTAAGCGTGCAACGAATAGTGCAATTATTAATAAAATACTACTTTGTATGTATGTATGCAGTTGCTATAATTATATTGCAACTGCATCTATATTAGCATGCGCAAAACGTAAGTGTTGGATATTATTATTAAATTATTATTGCAATATACGACCGCTTGCGTCCTCGTTTTTAAACAATATAACGAAGGCGCAGCGGAGTAAAAACCTAAAATAATAATAATATAGGTAGGTACCTATACGTAATATTATCGTTGTGCATATTAATTCAATTAAAATATTGACCTCGGGATTGTCGACCATTGGGGGTTGGAGGTTACTATTTTATGATGAAGGTAAATGAGATTAGAATATCTTTTTATCAATTTGTAAAATATATCGATTGTTTTAATAAATTAACTAATGTGTGTGTTTGATGGTATGAATTTTTCAGACCGAGGCTTGACAAATCTCTTTCGGATGATTGTACGAATGATTCGATTGACGACCACGAAGAGGAATTCTATTACACGGAAGTGGAACTTGGCGCAGCTTCATCACCGCCCACGCTGTCGCATCGGGATATGGCCCGTCCGCCGCACGAAGGTAAAGGATGCGCGCCCAATAAGATGATCATTATTTGTACGATTCGTATTATTACCAATTTTTCGCGTGTGCGCTGTTTGGTTTACGAAATGTTATTAACTATAATTTTTGTTTTGTTTTTGGTTCATCTTCGTTAAATATAGATCCCGAATATCAGAAAACGTTGATCATACCTCGTCCAGGAAGCGCTTGCCCAGTGAACATACCCAGCACGCCTGGCAACACCGTCATCAACTGGCCGTTCACATCTCTTAACGGACAGGTACGTAATATATTATTTCGAGGGAAAAAATATAAGTTTAAAAAACCTTTGAAAAATTTAATTTCTTTCGTTTAATGTATTCATTTGAAGTTGTTAAAAACCACAATGCAATCTAATTCGCGGTCATGTATATTTTTTTATTTATTTAGTATCAATAATAACAACTATCATCTCTATTGGTTTTCACACTTGTGGTGATAAAATTTAATCAAAATCATTGTATTTTTTTATTTACTATCAATTATAGTGAGCTTATATTATTTATTTACAAGAATAAATGTTGTATGCCACATTTAATTTTTGTATTATAAAAAAGTATAATATGAAAAATTTAATTTTGAATTAAAGTTATTTACTTTTTTAAATGAAGCATTCAGTTTTATTTCATATTCCTAAGTGGAATATTATTTGGAATAATTCGATCTATAAAAATCAAATTTCGGATAAGAAGTCAATTAATTAATAATAATTGTAAATATTTATTAATTATAAATATTTACTCAAAATTCTATTTTTATACATTGAAGTGCTCTAAAAAATATTTTACTTTTGAAATATATATATAGAATTGAGAAAGTGTTATTATTGAAAAAATAAAAATGATAACGATAAAAAGTAGCAAAAATTTTTGTTTTGATGTGACGTTATCAAATTACGTAAAAGAAATATTTTCATAAACGTTAGTGCTTTTTGTTAATGGATCACTGATATGTATTTTGTATTATATGTGGTTTAATGTTTTAATCTTAATTTTTTTTTTCTTTTCAGAAACAGATCAAAATGATGTATCAGAACTTGGGTGGCCCAAGGTTCCCGAATAGCCCTATAAGAAAAGCGCGTGGTGAAACGAAGAAGTGTCGTAAGGTATATGGTATGGAACACCGAGAAAAATGGTGTACGCAATGCAAATGGAAGAAAGCTTGCACAAGATTTGTCGGGTCTCTCGAAAACGCACAATTGGCGTAATGAAAACGATACACCAGGTACCGCCGATACCGACAATCTGCACCAATTTACGCTAACTGCCAAAATTAAAATGTTTTTCCTTTTATTTTATTTATTTAATATTATTATGTTTTTTTTTTTTATATATTATTATATTTTTATCAAATGCTAAGACACAATAGTGTTTTTATATATTTTTTTTTCTATATCAACTTTCATCGAGATTTGTACCCAGTTTTATGTATAAACAAATTTCTATTTAATGTTTAGTAAAATAAGTTGTACAAATATACCTAGGTATATAATAATCATAATAATAATAATTATTATTATTCTACCAAGTTAAAATCATACATACATTAAGGTATCTTATACCTACGACTTAATACTTAAAATTTTGTAATGTTTCAGTACTTGGGAAAAAGTTCCTAGGAAAAGTACTTTATTCATTCATAAGTCCATTATTGCATTGATGTGAATGACTGTTATTGAAATGATAATTTTTATTTATCTACCAGACAAAAAGCCATATTTATAAATTTATAAAAGACAAAGTATTAGTTTTTAATAATCGAAAACCACAAGATAATGTCCTAAAAAAAGCAATAATTTTTAATGATAAATTATATTTATAGTTATGGTTAGACTTAATATTTTTACATTTTAAATGCGCACAGAATAATTTTTATATTTATTTTCAAATGATATATTAAATTTCGAGAACAAGCATTTTATTTTACTTAGACTTTTGCTTCTCAAACTACGTTGTTTCCCAAATGTAATTGTATTATTTTATTTGGTTGTATTACTTTGATTTATTTATTGTTTATATGATATGTTATGTTATTTTAAGTAGTTACCAATTGCTCTATGAGTTTGTATTTACTATTATTATTTTACTGTATTTGATTTATTTATTTATTTTTTAAGATATATATTAAACGCATGTGACAGTTTTTTTATTTATTTAAAAAAATCTATTTTTCACAAAATATCAATTTGGCTTTTAATATGAATACAAAAAAAAATAAATATATGTGCAATTTTAATCTATTTAACTTGATTATATCATTCATAAATAATATGATAGTTATACTAAAAATTAAAGAAATATTATGTCACATGCGGTTATATATGATAATATTATCTATATTCATTATTATTTTATAAATGCTCTCTAAGACAATCTCCTGTCCCAAATTAACATATCTTTTTAAAGAAATATAATTTTTTTTCAAGTTAGCTTCTTAAATATAAGGCTCAAATTGTTCTGGAAATAAAAATATGTAAAAAAGTAAAAAAAAAAGTTTAATAACTCTTAATCTCTTAATGTGAATTAAGAATTTAATAATTCAGATGTGTTCAAACTAAAATTGATAGACTTAATTATTTTTTTTTTTTATTGTATAATTTTGTTTTGTTTTATTTTACTTTTTTTTTTTTTTGATCTCTATAACATTTTTATTAAGGGGAGCATAATTTGGATTCAAATCTTTTACAAAAGCCAAAGTTTAAGAGAAATTTAATTTGTGATCGATCTCATTATAAAGTATATAACAGTAATTTAGGTGAGGTGCTTAAAATAATAAGTATCGCATTGAACATAATTAATTTAGACAAGAGTGAATGTTGATTGGAACATTTATCTCTAAAATAAATATTAATAAACTTGATAAGCAATTAAACTGTGAGTGTCCTTGGATCGATCTGGATAAACTCGTTATAATCATTTAAATATATAACATATATATATTATATTGTATGTATTTATATATTTTTGAATTAATGAATTATTTTTACTATATATTCTATTATAGAGATTTTATTTATAAACACACCCATAAATATATATGTGTAAGAGTAGATTTTTTCAAGAAAAAAATGTCATCATTAATATTGTTAAGTATTGTATCCTTTATTTCTATTGTATTCTGTTTGTAAACAAAACTATATATTTACCTATTCTCAAACAAAACAAACTTATGAAATAACACAAGCTGGCTGTGTATTACTATTTTATTTCTGTATAATTAATAATTCTAATCAAGAACATTTTTGTTTTTAATTAATATTACCATTTTTATTTGTATTATCGATTTGTTAAAAAAAGAAAAAAAACCATAAATTTACCCTTAAAATATTATTTTTATATGCTAACTTCAAAACTACCCACTTTAGTTATTTTTTGAAAAATGATCCTTTTAATATTTTTGATTATATATTAAAGTATATTGTATTCTTGCCTAGTTTTCTTGGATAAAGTTATTTAATATTTTAATCAACCATTATTTTTAGAGTGTTTTATAATAGTTTTATCTTATTTTTAATAATTTATTATATAGTTATTTGGAGTGATTGAATTTGCAAAAAACAAACAATATATTATATTATATAATTAATCATTATATTAGCGTGTTTTAAACTATAAAAATTATTATAATTTTAAGTTTGAAAAAAAATTGTGAAATGTTATACAGTTATAATATTTATTAATTATGTTATACAATGAATATTAATACAAAAGAAACATGTATTTTCTCTTTTTGAAACTAAAATATTTGCTAAATGACTTTATTTTTAAAAAAATGTAATTTAAAAATATACAAAAAGTATAATAATATAATTTGTAGTTGTTAATTATTCTCAAAACTTCAAAACTATCTATAAAATACCTATGGTGCAACTTAATTATTAAACATTTATAAATAACATTCATTAAAGAAAAAAATAATTTATGTTATTTGTATTGGACTATTAAATTATTGCTTGTATGTACTGTAAAGCACTTGTGTTGTACTACTGTATTTGTATGCGGTAATTTTTGAAATATTAATCATATTTTTATTCTCATAACGTTGTATTTTCTTACACAGTTACTCATTGTAATTATTGATAACTAAAATATTGATTGGCGTTTGGCTTCCTAAATTTATTTTCATACTTCTAACTGAGTTGTATATTATTTTATTAATGGTAATTCAGAAATTGTGTATTTTTTTATCTAGTAACCTTCTATAGGCTAGATTTTCAATATCTAATTATTGTTAATTTGAATCTGAAATTATTTTTACATGTTACAGCTATCAGAGAAAACTGGTGGTCGTACATTGTTAAATAGTAGATACCTATTTGTTACTCTCGTTTGGGTAACTTAAACTTATAATTTACTATTTACATAATATCACAACTCATTGGTCTAAATTAAATCAAAAAAGTGTGCGTAATTTTTTTAATTTTAAGACTACAAAAAAAAAAAAAAAACTTGAAAACTGTTTTTATCCGTTTTTAGAGAAAACAGGTTAATACGATTATAAATATATATTTACGTAAATTATACACTGCTAGTTAACTGTGCATTATGTGGATTTAAAAAAAAAACACGATTACAACAGTGAAGTGGTATAATATCTTATATTCTATCCATAAGGCATAGTGTTTGTAATTAGTGTACTCTCACAATAATAGGTAATTAATTTAATGTTCGGCGTATTAAAAATAAATATGAAACGTTCTACTTGCGAGATTGTCCTAAACTCCGAAATCCACCACTGTGACGCGTATTTAAAATTTAATTTTTAATTTCTTATATTGTTTTGTACAAACACTTAAAGGACACCTTATCCGCATATTTCGTCTCCGTCTAACATACGCATCACACGGAAAGTTATACGTCCATAAGAATCTATTTTGCTCTGTTATTTTTAATGTTAAGTGTTGTGAGTTGACCAATTATCAGTCGTTAAAGTCAAGAATATAAGTACCTATTTAATAATGGCTTCATTTGTATATTATAATTTTGAAGCAATTTACGAGTATTTAAAAATCTACAATTTGCATAGGTGCCATTTATATTATTATTTATTAATTATTATTTACACACATTTTCTATGGTTTATTTTTATACCATGGTTAATTTTCAATGTTCTACTTTTTGAGTTTTGACACTGTGTTTTATGTCTTATAATAGGTATGGTATATAATTATAAAACTTCAATTAGACACATTAGACAAAAATATATTATACGAAATAAATCCTAAATCGGCATAAATAACTAGAAATTTCCCGAGAAACACTCGAAAGTCAAAATATTTCAATAAACAACATAACTAGTGAGTTCCGGGGATTTTAAGTGCGCGTCCGTGTAGTTTGCATTGCAGACGATGTTTTTCAGAGATGTATTGTAGTGCTATAGAACAAGATTTAACATAGTAATAAGTAAGAACATTGATTATGATGACACAATTAATAAAATAAAAATGAAATATATGTTTATAGTGTTTTAATAATACTAATCTATTTTATAATAATCATATTTTATGTCTTAGACCTATTTGGCTTAGGATTGACTCTAGGAGTCATTTATTTTATTTTGTGTACATGAAGTACCTACACCGAGTAGATGTAAGTACATTGGGTTTTTTGTGAATAAACTGTATATTATTTGGGAACAATATAGGTACAATAATTATAACGTACAAAATTCTGATCAATAATTGAGCATTGAGGAACAAAATGCATTTTGCATATTACGTTTAGGCAGGGGCGTAATTTGGGGGGGGATCAGGGTGTGCGGCTGTACCCTTTACTTTTAAATTAATATGCCAATTGGCCTACGCCCTGCTGAAATAATGTTCAAAATTAAATCTTCTTAAATTGTATTTTAATTTTCATATTGACATTTATCAATATTGGTATTCATTGATTCGGTCCATGAGATGTATGGAAATAATAATTAAAAGTAGGATAATGCGTACATATACGTATATATATATATATATATATATATATTTTTATATGGTTTGTGAAATTTAAAAATGGCCTGCTTGAAACCCCGCACACCTAAAAAATAACCTGAAATGACAGCCCTGCATTTAGGATGGAAATAAGACCTGCGTGACTGAGAACATTTATTAGTAGGTAGGTCAATCATTTTTCGGTCTTTTTCTCTCTTCTCTTTTATAGTTCTATATTAATTTCCATAGCTACTCTCACTACTTCTGAATCACCTCCTTCTATAACATGACCAAACCATCTCAAATTATTTTCTTTAATTTTATTTATAATTGATGCCACTCCTACACTACCCATAACTAATTAATTTTTTATTCTATCTTTCCTCCATATTACATGAAAGGCCTTACAATTGTTTTATTTAATCAACCATTTAATCTAATGACATCTGTTTCATAAAATACTTTTGATGAAAATTACTAAAAAAAATCATTCTCTTGTACCTACTTACTAAGTACTTGAACGGTTTAAGTTAAATGTTAAATTTATTCACTTCACACATTACATCATTTCACTCCGATGCCATTTTCATCATCTAACCATGTGACATATTAACTTATCAATTAATCTTTCCAAAATCATAGAATATTTTCTTTTTAATACTCCTACAACTTTAATTCAGATTTTATTAAACATACTTGTAGTTTTTTTTAGATCCTATTCCTCTGAAAATGCTTTATTGCTTCTAGTTTGTTCCAACCCTTAATACTACCCTTTAGTCTGGTTAAATAATGTATTAAAGTAAAATAATATGTTAGATTCAATACGAAATAATTTTTTACAATTTATTTCTTTTCAATTCAGTATTCATATACTTCATAAATGTTACTTAGTTTCATTGTTAAAATATTTACACAAATGTAAACTGGTATCATATTGACTGTCCAACAAATATTATCCCTAATTAATATTAGAATAAACAATCTTAAAACGAGAAACTCCTTGCTATTTAGCTAATCTTTTATTACAAAAATTCTATTTTAAAGTTTCCCGTTAATATTTTAATAAACAAAGATAATTCTTTTAATTTTTAAATATTTAATGAATTTATTTATGTATATACTTATAAATCTATAAACCACATAAATTTAAATATTTTTAAATCAGTGACCCAGAATTCAAATAATAAGAAATAAGATCATTAATACTTAAGAGGATGCCGTATCTGCATACATTATCTGTGTTTTATATACATACAACATAGCAAATTTTCGTTCAGTAGTATCCATTTTATGTCGTTAGTTAGCTTAACATTAGAGTAAATTTACATATTATCAAACTTAAAGAATTTTATCTAGGCAATGACATAGGATTTTATTGATATTTTAATTTTAAATTGAATTATAGCTATATAAAATATAAACTTTTAAACGCTCATAACTCACTTTAAAATTATAATATTAATAAAAGCCAATGTCATTGCCTAGATAAAATGCTTACCTTAAAGTTTGAAAATGGGTAAATTTACTCTAATGTTAAAACTAACAACATAGAATGGATACTACTCAACAAAAATTTGCTATGTTGTATTTATATGTATATAAAAGTCTTACAGTAAGACGGAGACAACACATGCGGGTGTGATGTCTTCTTATAAAAAAAAATAAAACATATTAAATTTAATATTGTATGTTTATTTATTTTGTTAGTATACATATAAAAATAACTAAAAATTAAAGTTAATTTAAACATACGTATATATTGTTTATTACTTATTGTAAACTTAATATATAATATTTTGTTGGGGTTTTTTATATAAATTATAAGCAATAAAATATATTTTGTTCGTAGGTACATAAATTAAAATTAAAGTAAAAAAGAAAATCACAGATTACAAAAAAATTAAAAACAATGATGATTGAAAATTATAAAACAGTAATGTAAAAATGTGTTCGTTAGTACATTTTGAATAAAAATCCTAAAAAAAATAAAAAAAAAAAAAAAAAAAAAAAAAAAAACACCTGATAAACATTCATCAGCATTATTAGTTTTGTTTGAAAAATCACATTATAATTATTGATTTGTTAATGTAATTAAAAAAAATGATAAATACATAAGTATTGTGATAACTTAATCTAATGTTTGTATTATACTTAAATTAGATTCAACAGAAGATGAAAATCAAAACAATTTTCAAAGATCACTGAAGAATTATTTTTTTTTTGATTCAAGTTGTTTAATCCTAGCAGCCTTGACTGATCGTGGAGATTCTAAATACCGTCTTTTTGTGCTATAATTATAAATTATATTTTTTTAATAAAATAAAATTTTATTTTGAACAATTTAAATAAATATCTCACCTGGAACCAAAAATTCTATTGTTTTTTGTAATTGGAGTATGAGTGGGTTGTAATGGACGGGAAGAAGTGCGTTTTACAGGTGTATTTTGTGCACGCAAAGGTACTAAATTGTTTAAGAAATTTGACCAATAGTCAGGTGACAGTTTCAGCATTTCTTCGACAACCTATAGATATAAAATATATTTATATTTATTAAAGTAATGAGTATTATAAAATATTATACATTCAGTGTTCTATTCTTACCTTATTACTCAATTCACAATCAAAATATAGGTTTTCAGAAACTTCACTTGAATAACCAACAATTGTTGGACCAAATACTCGAGCTAAATTTCCGACAGGCATTTTACAATCAGGTGTTGCAGCAACTCTAAATAATTTAGATTAAATAAAGTGTATACATAAAAATTATACTTGAATTTAACACAAAATGTCATACTTTTGTAAATGCAACATTATGTAAGCAAGCGTGTTACGATTAGGCGGTGGTAATAATGATATGGCTTGGTATAATCTGTGTTCAGTTTCATCTTTTGAATTTCTGACAGCATCCGTAAAAGTTTTCCAATCGTAGTGGGGAATTAATGGATCATCAAGAGTCCTCAAGAAATCTTTTAAGCAACCACACACGACGTGTATATCAACATCAGACAAATTAGGTACTCCTTTACGGAATTTTTCTTTTAGTGCTTTCACGTCTTTCTCAGAGCCAGGTATTCTGTACAGTCCAACAGTATCAAATCCTCTTTGTTCAATTTCGTTCACACAGTGGATGACCAATGCAGGTATCATTGGGCGGCCATTAACCATTGGTGAATAATCAGCTATTCGTCCCTATTATTAGTATTCACATAAATAAAATATTTAAAAATATATTACATAGCGTGATTATGAGCTAATATTGGTATACAAAATACTAAAATATGTAACACGTATTGTTATAGTTTTAGTATATTCATGTCACCACTGATTTAAATATTTAAAATAAATTTTTTCAAGAGTTAACATGAATTAAATTCTTATCAAACAAATATTTTTAACAATGTTTAATTGTTACACACTGAATTAAAGATAATTAATAATAACTATACAATTATGTTTTATTATAACTTACGCCATTTTTGCTTGGTGTACTCTTTACAGGAATGCATGGTAAAGGAATTTTATCTTTGTGTTCCAAATGCGCTGTTGCTTTGCAATCTAAGCATTTCACCACAACACGATTGAATTTAACTCTATAACATATTTTCCTCTTTTTAGTAAACAGAATTGAGAATATTTTTTAGATAAATTAATAATAAAATACAAATTACTTTTTTCCACACGGACCACATATTTCTGGAATGATTACACTTTTTTGAGTAAAATTATGAGCTCTATTGTTTAATTTATTAAGTGCTGAACTTGAATGTATTGTGTTGGGTATATTTTGATTATTTTCATTACCGTATGGATCAGAATCAAATGAATCTAAAGAGTCTAAAGTAATTAAATTTAATATTAATTAATAATTTTTATTTTTAATGAATGTAACTGTTTGTTAATTGTTATAGATATCTTACCAGATATAGGTGGTGCACTGGGTATTGGAAAAAGGTTAGATGGTTTGGTTTCAATTATAGATTTTGCACTGATGTTCCTTGTGAATGGTTGCATTGTAACAGTAGTAGTTGCAACAATTTGAGTTGAAGCTGTCGTAGTAGTAGTCTATAAACCAAATATATTACTTGTAAATATTTAATTTAGTAAATTAAATAGCAAATAAATTTTACCTCAATTTCCTTTCTCATTTCATTGGGGTTTGGAGGACCTGATGTTCGTTTTCTTTTTACAGTACCAAATACTTCAGGCTCCCAGCGATCCACAGCGTCTTCAAAATTCTTATCGGAATCCAAACTATCTTCTACTCTTGAGTAACTGATATCCGACAATACAGACTCTAGAATATACAATTTAACATGAAGTAATTGTAAATTATGATTATTAATATTATTTTACCAGTTGTATCTTGACGTGGTATTTGATCAAACCTTTCTGCTTCACATTGAAATACCGGGGAGCTAGATCGATTTATGTTGGAATTATTAGCGCTATTAAATAGCCTATAGAAATTATCAAGTTTCTGGGCCTAATTAAAGTTTTTATAAAAATAAACATTACATTATTCAAAAAAGGCAATTAACCATAATATTTTACCATATTATCTCGTTCAACTTCAGCATGCCTTTTTTCTTTATTAGCTTCATCTAATAATCGATTGGAACTTTTAAGATTATGCATTAGACGTTCACATTCAATACGCATTTCTTGAAGTTTTTTCTTCATTATTTCTTTGTCATTTCCATGGTCTTTAAATTGTACACTGAGTACTTCCAATGATATAATTTTGGCTTTATAGTCTATGAAAATGTTGATACATTAAAATAATTATATTTATATACACATACTGGGTGATAGACAAATTTATATTGAAAACAAATCTTTAGTGAAATAAATACTTCCAAGTCCTAGTGGTATTTTTATCTCAATGATTAAAATTAATATGTAAGACAGTATGCGATCACTTTTCACTTATAGTTTAGTTAGATATATTTTTAAATTTGTACAAGAAAAATTGTTAAAATGTAAATACACGTTTGTATAAATTATGTACCTCTTTCCACTGTTGTGTCCAATAAAGCCAACACGTGTCTGAAATGTTCATCGTATTTCATGGCTAATGATAATCGATCCATTGTTTTTGAATGAAAAAGAACAGTTTCTGAAAATAAAATTTTTTATAAGTATAAAAAGTATTATTTTAAGTAGCTGTTGAACATTTTTCAAATAGATGTATTAGTTATGACCGATGATACTAAATCAAGTGCCTATCATTATAAGCTGGGAATTATTTTACCGAGTTATCGCAAAATATAAATGATACAAAAATATGGATTACGATAAGTAAGTGGGTAAAAACTAATAATAGAGTATAGGTCTCACGAGATATTTTATTTGTATTAGGTTTTCAGACATTGATAATAAAATATTTAATCCGTTATTGTTTTAAGTGCATAATAATATAAAATACATTACACAGGGCTTGGATAAGAAAAAAAAGTAGTTCCAAGATGCAAGAATGTCTACTATTTTAAATAAAATTTATTTAAACAGAATTAAAAATAAATAATAACTGTAACTGTAAATCTTAAGAAGACGTCATACCCACATGTGTTGTCTCCATCTTACAACACGTACGACATAGACAAAATGTGTTTACGTAGTTTGAGTAGAACTCGCTCAATTTTGATTCTAGAGTAAATATACCTATTATAAAATTAAAAGATGACAATATTTGGGAAGGTGAGGCGCTAAGTTTTTTTTTTATTATTCCCAATATAACGTTCATTATAAACCTTTAGAATCAGCAAAAATTTCAAAATTTTTAAATAACCTTTAACTTTTCAAAATTTAAATTTTTTAAAAAAATTTCAGCGTTTTGCCCTCCAAAATATTTTCATCTTTTAATTTTATAATAGGTATATTTACTCTAGAATCAAAATTGAGCGAGTTTTACTCAAACTGCGTAAACACATTTTGTCTACGTCGTACGTGTGTAAGACGGAGACAACACAAATGGGTATGACATTTTCTTAAGTCTTTTTGAATATCATTACATATATGGGTTTATTTAATTTTACATAACATTGATAATAATTGAAAAAAATAAAAATAAGTTTAAAAAATTTATTTTATTATTTTATAAAATAGTATTTTAAAGAAAATAATACGGTTGAATGCAGCGACGTATTAAGAAACTTAGTAGCAATAGGGCCACACAGGTTCGCACACAAATTTTTTTTCTCGGTGGTGGCGGAGGGTAAGTTTGTATATTTTCATATTTATATAATAAGTAATTTACAAACATTAACCACTTTTACTTTATTAAATCATACATTTTAACTTTCCTGAAATTAGGGAGGATGAGTCCCTAAACCCTGCCTATAGGAAAGGTAGGAACTTCTTTAACGTAGATTAAAGTATTATCAACTTAATTATAGTTTGAAATAATTAAAAATATGTTTTAATGTAATTATATGAAGTCCCTGTAGTCTTGATTTAAATACGTATACTTGTTATATTCACACTTTAAAAATCCTGAACAATAAAATCATAACTTGTTCTAAATTGTATAAAATTACACAATAACCGTTATTATACAACATAAAAATTGAATGACCTAATAGCAAAATGATTTATTTCATTGTTATTATTTATTTTAGAATATTTAAACCAGTTATTTAGAAAAATAATATAGGTACTTTGCACTAACTTAAAATATTGAAAGTAAATATTTGATAGACAAAGCATATGATATTTATAGTTTTTAATAACTTTATAATACTTCACACACATAAATTCGACATACATAGAACTGTAGCAATAGTTCGGAAGTATGTGGAACGTAGTTTTGATTTGTTAGGTAGATACGCGTAGTGATAGGCAGAAATAATAAACTTATTTGTAACGTCATTCTAAGCATTACAATTTTTTTTTTACGAGAATGGTATTTCAATAGTTTTCAATTATAAGTTTTGATTGTTGCTCAATTTAGAACGCAATACGTGCATACTAGAAACGCACTAAGATTTAATAATTCTACCTTAATAAACAACTCTTAAAGTGTTTAAATATATTTTTCTTTGCCGTTAAAACCATGAACAATAAGTTATTAAAATAACAATATTTAGATTATGGGTGCGACTCGTTTGCGCACATTTACCTTTTTTACAACATGTTTGCGCACAAAATCACAACTCGTTTGCGCACACATATTTTAGGTTTAAATAATAAAGGTACAACTCGTTTGCGCACATTTACCTTATTTTGCTTAATTATAATTAATTAATAGACTGTATAAAATAATAATATATATATACATATTGTATATAAAAAAAATTAATTTATAAATTAAGATTTAATTATTTTGAATTTCTAAGTATTTATTATATTATTTAACATCGATCGACCAGATATCGGCGAGAATAAGATATATATACAATAATATAATACAGATAAAAGTAATAATAACGTCAATGATTATACGCGTAAACAATATTGTCAATTATTAATTTAAAATTTATATATTGAATTAAATAAAAAAGTACAAAAATAAAAGTTACTTTACGTTATTAATTTACACAATAAAAATAAAATTACATGAATATTTAATTTTTTTTTGTTTTATAATTATAGCACATATGTAAGTACCTTCAGATATATCTATTATAAATATGATTTTAATATTACAAAAATTAAAATATATTAAAAAACATGCATTGTAGGTTTAATAAGTAATAATAGTAGTCTATTAGTTATAAAATTATACTAATTTAGAATGGTGACATTTAAGTCCGATTTTCTTCATATAAGTTAAACGATTAATAATATTATTTTTATATTCATTCCAAATGTTTTCCAATTGTATCTCCTTATTAATTGTCTCTTTTCTTTTGAAATTCATGATTTTATTGTTTATCGAATTAATTTTTAAATCAGTGTCACTTTGAATTCCAATAATGACGTCGATTACTTGATGTATGTGCGGATGAGCAGTGTAAAACTGACTATTATATTGTTTGTGATAACTCTCGGCACCATTAGTAGTCTTAGGATTATTAGTAGGTTCACAAGCCCATAATGTTGGAGGGAAATTGCTGTCCGATGTTATGTAATTTTCTAAAATATAATCGGAAAATATAGAAATATTAGACGTAGTACTTGGTGCTATTGACATAAGATCACAAAATCCATCGGAAACTTCGTCAGGGGGTAAATAACTTAATCCAAAAAAACATTTCATCCATTTTCCAACTTCTGAGTCGTTGTTTAAGTACTCGCTCGATAATAATTTATGTTGTTGAATATGCCTAAACCAATTTTGCCCTAAATGAAAGTTACAACACATGATTTTGCATTTAGGGAAAATTTGCAATACTGCATTATGCGCAGATTTTTCAAAGTCGACATGAAAATTGCTTAAATTTATTATATTACCAGTAATTTGAATACATATATTTTGTAATGTTTTCCACATACTGATGTAAGTATCAGTATGTTTGTTACTTAAAAAACAAAATGCCACAGGAACATAAAAATTGTTTGTAAATACGTGAATAGTATAAAGTTGAACAAAATATTTCGGAGCGAATGAAAATGTCCCATCCCCAAAAACGTGTTCTGCACTTTGTAGCAATTCCAAATTTTGTTTACATGTAAATATAAATATATTTTCATCATCACTAACGAAACAAAATTTATTACCTTTGTAAGTAATATTATGCTGATCATCAACTAATTGTTTTTTAGCATCTTCTAAAGATCTCGGTATGTTTGGAAAGGATTTTTTTCGTTTTTCATACATGGATCTTCGAATTAATTTCATATCGCTATATTGAAGATGTTCAGATTTTTCGTTGTTTTTCAATTCCCGGCGTATTAGTTTATTTGGTTTAATATGTAAATCCTCTTCGGCTCTACGTTTCAAATTGCTTCTTACTACTTCTCGATGAATTGTTCGGTCGTCGTACTCGTCATGGGTATGCGTGTTTGTAATTTTTAAAATTTTATATGATTCATTAACTAACCTAACTACAGCACTTACGGAACAATTTTTATTTGTACACCTAAAATTTTTATCACCAGATTTTAAAGTTCGGAATTCTCTAAATTTATAATTTTCTATGTTTAAACATTTTTTTCCTCGACGCGTTTCAAAAACATCACAAATTTCGATATCCATAGTCAATATAGTCAGTTGTTATAGTACAGCTTTCTGGCGAACGACTGTTTAAAAGTATTATGCTTTCCTAATACACGACGATTATTTTAAATCGATATATATTGATTATTGATATGCTGGTAATTTGTACTGATAATTTTTACCGATAATTCAATTACTTTAGGTAAGTCCAAATTTAAAAATATAAAATATATGTTACTCAGTGTTTATGTTGTGCGCAAACGAGTCGTCCGTTACAGGTAAACGACTGATTTCGTTGTGCGCAAACGAGTCATCGATATCTAGGTAAAAAATGTAGATTGTGCGCAAACGAGTTGCACCGTTAGATTATATATTTTTATTAATAACATTCATCATCTTGAAATCGTGTTTTATTTCTAAAATGACTAATTGATAACACAATAAATTTGATATGTAAGCTGTTTTTTTTTAAACTCTGATACGGGGAAAAAAATTTTAAATCTTGATACGCCATAATAGAACAAATAATTTACTATCTGTAATTATTTAAGTACCTAGGTATAAAGGATTGAAATTAATATATAACATTCTTGTGTAGATAAAATTATTTTACCATCACTCCATTCTTTTTGTTAAAACAATTTAATATTATAAAATATAATAATATATATTTATAGCTGACTTATTATCTAATACTTAATAATCAAGCTTACATTTTTTTAGAACAATTTTTAAGTATAACAAAAACATAAAATATTTGTTGATTTAGTTTTATTTTTATTAAGAACATAGAAAAATATGTAAAATATACAGATATTTAAATACTAATATTTATCTTGAAAATAAAAATAAGGTAAACCTATGAATAATAATAAAAAAAAATGATTTCTATTAAATTTTATAGAAATAATTAATTTTAAAAAGTAATTTTTTTAAACGATTAATTAGATCAATTTTAAATATAAATAATTAAAAACTTCAGTGTTGGTTGTCTAAATACTTTACTATTTTTTAATAATATACAGAACCAAGAAATGAAATGCGTAAAAGAGTAATACAAATGACATGCTATATTTTGCTGTTTCATACTAGGATACAAGTTTAAAGCTCGTGCAAGGCACATAGTAGCACCGAAATGATGATCGATAATATTGTTTGAATGTGTCTAAACAGAACAACCCTCGAAATGAGACAATTTCTAAGGTACACTGATAAGTTCCACTATAGTTTGTTTAGAATATTTATTTTAATAAGACAATTTTTTTGTAGTTTTTATTTTATTTTAAAAATAATAACTATTTATCATGATATAAAAATTTTCAATGGAATTGTGCTAATTTTAATCTAAAACTATCTTTATTGTTTGGCTAATTATGAATGAGCGAAAATATTGCATTTAGCAGAATGTTAAGTTTCGATTTTTACTTTTTAAATACAAGAATTTAAGAAGTTATACATAACAATATGTTCTATAAATGTCGAAGTAAATGTAAAGTAAGTACAAATTATTATATTTTAAAATTTAGTACTTATTGTAGTAATATTATTTTAAATTTGTTATCGATAACACAAATATAAGATGAGTGCTAAAATATTATTAAATTGATAAAAAATAAAATTAACTATCAAAAGATTTTTATTAGTAAATGTCAATAATGTTTTTGTTATACTAAATAAATCGTTTTTTCCCCGAGTATAAAATTGCGCATGCGTGATTTGCTTTTCAGTCTGAAGGCTCTAGATTTGAATCGATTCGTTTTTTTTTATTGTTCGACAACATTAGGTAGATAGATCCTCAGATCGTTATTCAGTAACAGGAGACCAATACAACTAATTCATATTTTAACCGAATATTGAATAAGTTAAGATCATCTATCAAACATGTGAGTAAAAATTGTTTTAATTATTATATTATACAAAAATATTGGTATTTTTATATTAAAAATATTTAGTCTTGGATTTTTTTTTTACATTAGTCAAATAATATTTTTCTACAGTACACCTAATTCAACTCTTATATTATTATAAGTATATAATTTTTTTTCACAACAAAAAAACTGAATATAGTTTAAATGTTAATTATTAAAACTTAACATTTTGTAAAATATTTTAAGTTATACATTTTTATGTAGATATACATATATTGTAACGTTATTAGTTATGTATTATAAATACTATTTATCTCTATTTTCAATAAAGATAAACAGGAACATACCGTAAAATTAACAATATAATGTACATTAATTTAAATAGTATTTTTATTTATAAACTATAAAAACATAGTTAAATTAACTTATCGTAGTAGTTAAATATTTGATTAACTAATTACAATTAATTTATTGTTGTCTAGAGTCTACATGATGTAAAAATAATAATATTAAACAAAAAAACAATACATACCGAAGTTATAACAGTGGATATTATTGAATACTTTAGTCAATGAAACTAAGTATAGTAATATGTCTATTTGTAATTTTTTTTTAAATATTATAATAAGTCATACTTATTTTAATAATGGTAATAAACTAATAAACGATTTTATTCACAAGCATAATAATGAAGGAGGTTCATAAATTTGACATTAAATATGTACACCTATCTATTGCTTAATTTTATTTAAATGTTAAACATATTTTTTTCTTACAAATAACAAAATAACGTATTTTAACAAAGAATTATCACGGTTTACCTCCCAATTCCCACTTAATAGCCATATTATTTGATAGTATAATTGTAAAAGTGTCAAATTAATATAATATTCTACTACCAACATTAATACTTAATTAAATTAATATTTTTAAATATTATTATGTAATGTTGTTATAATTTAACAATAACAATTCACGGAATGTACATTGCATACGTACACAAATACACTATCATAGTATTCATAGTATAATAAGAAATTATTAAGAGTATTATTCAATATTTCACCAAAACGATTTATATTGTAACCATACAATAATATATCCGTATTTATCTTATGCTAATTATTTTTTACAGTTTTGTTATGTTTTTATTATGTCTATATTATTGTCACATTATAATAGTTATAAATGGTTAAAGAATATAATCAATTACTAAATATGCATATTACAGAGAGCGATTTAGAGCTATGGAAATTTAAAACTAGTACATATTATTTTATTATATGTAATAAAATAAGGAAAATCAGGACAAGATATTATAAAATTGGAATAATACCTAATTGTTGGAATACTTTTATTTTGGAGCACGTAGTATTTGACTGCAAATCACTCCAAAACAATGACAAATATCTATATATATAAATAATAAAAAAAAAAAAAACAGAAATATCACGTCAGGTGTAAAACCGTACACACCGTAACTAATAGGTTAATAGCAACAGTAGAATGACCCTCTTGCATCTATACACAAAATAAATCACTGCTCTTTCGGGGCCTTGAACTTGATAGTTTTCAACAGAATTAAGCCAGTTATAATGAATCTAAACACATTTTGTGAATACAATGTTAAGTCGTAGGCACATGTTGAATACCTACTAGCTATTATCCGTAACTCTTAATCAGTAGGAATATTTCTGTAGGTATATTGTAGGAAAATGTAATACTTATTTTATAGTATTTGAACAAAATTTTAGTTCATCTTTAAATTATTATTAACATCACAAAAATATTGTCATAGTTAATATTTGTTATAATTTTTCTGATAAAAATTATATAAGTTTCTAACTTTTTTAACAAACTTTTACGTACTACTTACCTAATTAATTTGTGATTTCAATTAAAATGTTATCTATTTATTTTTACGGTAAACTTTAGTCTCTACGTGTATAAATACTTATTATAATTATTATTATGTTAACAATAAGAAAATAAATTTGTAGCGGATTTTCATTATTTATTATTAAACAAATAAATAATTATATGCCCGTAATTTTGGTTATGAAAACGATATTTTAACACTCACGTAATTATTAGTCTACATTTTTTACACTTTTAAAAACTACATAGGACTATATTATACGTGTTACGGACAATCTAAAGCTGTAGATACCTAAATGGTTATATAGTTTAAAATTTGAAACATATATTATGAGAAAAAAAAAGTAACGGAAAAATAATACTATACATTTAGAAGGAACGATTTTTTTTTTTTTTTTTGAGATACAAAGCGTTCAAATTTATATTATTACTATCTAATGAGTCATGACTGTTAAACTAAAAACTATAATTCTGTCCCAATTTTAAAGAACGTGAACTCAATAAATCACAATATTATGTATTACAGATGATTTTTTATTATATAAATAACTGAAATAATTGTATATCTTGAACGGAGTTATGAATGTATTGATGTTACAATGATGTGTTTTGTTTTTGATTTGAGTGATAGCACTCACCCTTTTTATAACGGAAAATGCTTCAATCTACAACTTTCACAAGTTGTTTTTGGTAAAAATCAGATAAAATAGATAATTCATTTTTAAAATAATCAGAAAAACTAATTTTGAAATTTTTACCAATTCCGTATTATTAACAGAAAAATAAGCAACTATTCTAATACTGAATAGCAATTAAAATAATAAAGTATCATTATAAGAACGTAGAAATATTTATTTTTCAGAATCGTTTATCGTATACAATGATTTATTATTGAATTCAAAATAAACACATCCATTACTACAGTAGACCATGTAACGAAATACTATAGATATCAACAACTATACAGGACTGCGGATTCTTGTTTTATTTTTTACTTTGACTTTGATTCACGAAAAATATTTATTAAAATTATAAAAAGCCTCAAAATCCCAAAATATGCATAAATGTGCATTGATTGAAATTGTTAGTTATTTCCTTAATATACAGTAATTTCATGAAAATATCATTTTTTTATATCATAACTACTTAGTATTCATTTTAAATTTGTTGGAATATCCATTGGTCACACTGATGTTTATCTGTATAATGTTATAGAATATTATCTATGGTGTATTTTATATTATTATATATAATAATCAAATAATCAAATGCATAAACTCAACAGTCAACATACTTCATGATTTCAAGTTTGTTTATGACTTTTAAATATCTTAGAATAACCATTTTATTGTGCGATTCAGTTATAGACGATGTTAAAAACTTTAAAATCTCATTTTTTTAAAAAAAATACTATTGGAATGAATAAACTTTGCTTATGGCAATGGGTTGATGATACATTTAACCGGCAAGTGCCTTTATTTTAAATAAAACGACAAGGAAAAAGCATTTTAGTTATATTATAATTATCATTTTGTAAAAAAAGTTTGGATGAAGATCGTATCAAGGAAATTGGCCCTAACTTGGCATGTGCTGAGTGGCTTATGAAAAATGGTGCACAAGTCAGATGGAAAGGTTGTAAAGAATTTGTCAGCCATTACAATTGCTTACCTAATATAACATCGTGTAACCTCGGACAATTTCTAATTGAACAAGTTTATGCTGGAAAAGAAGCCTCAATTTCACATATAGGATTTAGTTATTTTGGTAGGTTTCTCAGTAACAATACAAAATCTAATTTTGGCTGTTATATTAATGACGTTTAAATGTTAATTTTATAGAAAACTGTAAAAATATTTCTAAAGTTGAATTAGTTGGATGCCACACAATTGATAATGAAGCATTAAATAAACTTAATATCTTAAAAGATTGTTTGACAAATTTGAAAATTAATGGATGTATAAATGTTTCTGACCAAGGAATAATGTCATTGGAACAACTTCAGTAAAAATAAATAAATTTATTTTTTAAAATATATATTACTTAATAACTTAAATTTTCAGGGCATTAAAATATTTGGAATTAAAAAATTTACAGTTTTTAATTGAACCAGAAGCAGTAATTGATCATCTAAAAACAAAACTGCCAGAATGTAATATACAATATTATGATGAATGATGATAAAAAGATAAAATATTATAAATACTATTATAATATAGGTAGCAGATACAAAGAAACTATTTAGTATTTTCACTTAATTATCATGTATGACTAATTTTTACTGTAAAATATATTCAGATTAGTAATAATAACAAATATCTGTTAAAAAATTATGAAAAATAAAATAAAAATTTGAAAAATATTTTAAAATGTATTTATTTTATTGCTTAAACTAAGTTACAATCAGACATGTATACTGCATAAATCTAATTTGTTGATGTACAATTTTAATTTTGAATTAAAAACACACTTTGTTTAATGTATAGCAATAATCAAAATGACTGGTGATCAAGTGATAAAAAAAAAAAAACAAGAAACTGATGAGTAGGTATCAATTAATATTGTTTAAGAGGACGCTGCACAGATATTTGATGTCTCTGTCTTACAAATGTGTACGTAACATGACAAATTTACGTTCAGTAGATTAGGTTTAAGTTTGTTAATTTAAAAATTAGAGTGAATTTTCCTATTATGAAACTTGATGGTAATAATATTTTTTTGTGTTTGAATGTTGGTTTTTACGATAATTCAATTTTTTAAGTGAGTTATGAGTATTTTTAATTTACTATATTTTACATACATAAAATTCACTAAAAATTGAATTACTGTAAAAATACTCATATAAAAACACAAAAAATGTTCTTACCATCAAGTTCCATTATAGATTGATTCACTCTAATTTTTAAACTAATGAAGCTAAACCTAATTTGCTGAATGTAAATTGTCTATGTTACTATATCTGACTTGTAAGACAGAGACAACAAATTTCTGTGTAGCGTTACATATTGTTATAATGTTATTTGTTATTGATACAGCTATATCGATATTTCAATAAGAACCAATACATATAAATTTTTTTTTTGTATATATACTTCATTCATGTTTAAAAGCAACTAGGATAGCCAACTTTTACACATGGGTGTGATATTGCTCTGTTTTTGAGAGTATGAATGAGTAATGGTCAATTAAGTAAGGAAAACAGTTATATGTAACTTGTACACTGCAGACAAATACTAGGTTGTTTTTAAACGTAAATGGAGAATAGGAATTTAAAAAAATGTATTTATAATAATAATAATAATATATTATAATTATTAAATATTACAGAAAAATCCAAATTGTCTATTTAATTTAATTAGCCAAACACTATTACCTATTAATATTTAAAATTAAAAAGTAAATAGGTACTTTATTTTATGAATTGATGGATTATGTATAATTTATATTTTATACACAGTAAAATTATTATAATGAGTTGAATTGGGTTTTTGAGATAATAAGTGTTATTATCTTAAAATATTGAAATGTTAGAAAATAGACTAGGTATTTTTTTCATAAACAATTTAATAAAACCAATTAACATTATTTTAATTTGAGTTAATATCGTTAAAAAGTTATTACTTATTAGATCTTTATTATGTATACTAATGAACTAGGATTTATTTAATCTTAATAACATTTTAATATTTTAACAGGGTGTTTCATGGTGAACTGACAATTGTAAAATTTTTGTTTTATTGAACATTTTCAACTTTTTTATTTTTAAATTATCAATTGTTATCTGCGCTACATTAATTTTTTGATTTTTTTTTAAATTCTGAAATAAAATCAAAAAATTAAAAAATTTTTAATTTGATATTTAAAAAATAAAAATTGCCATGTTGTTGATCTCATTTTTAAAACGTGTTCACAAAAAAAAAAAAAATTAAAAATGCTCAGCCGTTTATTTTTCACAATTTTTAGAAGTTTGCATAATTTTAAATGATTTAAAATAGACCTTTTGGATAATCAATAATCACTATACACTGATAAACAAGAAATAAATTTGAATTTAGGCAAACTTTAAAATTAATTGAAAGTTTTTGACTTAACCTTTGTAAAAGTTTTTGACACAAAATTTTGTTTAAAAATCAGATTTACAAAATGGCTATCTTGATTTTTTTTAAATGTTAATAAAAAATTAAAAATGTTTAATAAAACAAAACTTATTGCAATTGTCAGGTCATTGAAAAACATTCTGTATATTGACTTCATGTATACTAATTTTTTTATACTTTCCAATAACTAAGAAATAAAACTTGATATTTTTCTTTGTTCTTTTTATAGGATCATCATGAGACATAAATTAATTAATTCAAGATGGAAATGTATAGTTATTATTTCAAGTATTTTTTTGACATTAAATACTGTGGTATTTGGAGGTAAAAGAGAGTTATAAATTTTTTAATTGTAATGATACTTATAATTATTATTTATTTTTTTTTAAATTAATCTTATTTATGTAAATGTATAATAAAAATATGGTTGTGTAGTTGTTTTAAACTTGAGCTGATATTCCTTTTCAAACTCTAATTTTAATAGTATGTCTAAATTATAATGGGTATACAATGAAAAATTGCCTAAAGAATTGTCAAATCTTCTGTATTCAACTACACAAAAATAAAAGTTATTACTAAAGTATTATATAATATTTAAATTGTTTTCTAATAGTCTTAAAAAAAATTATATATAAAAATATTATAATGAAATACACATCTTAATATACCTAGCAATTTTTATTGACTGACTGTTTTAGTGCAACTGTTTGGTAATTGTATGTTTATATTGATAATTATTATACAAGATAAATAAATGATATAATAAGAATAAAGAAAAAGAAATTTAAATACTAGTTTAATATTTTTATTTCTAATTAAAATGTAATTATCATTTCAGTTCCATTAAATATGTCATATTCAAACCAAGAAAATATTAGAAACGAACATTTTGCACATGAAAAAGAGTATAATAAAAAATTAGTAGACTCTAGTTGTATAGTCAATGGTTCAAAATATGGAGAAGGTGATTATACACCAGGTGCAGGTCCATGTGAGGAATGTATTTGCCATCCACCAAATGTTGTATGTTCAATGATGAAATGTCCAATAAATACTGGTTGCATTACAATTCAATTGCCAAATAAATGCTGTCCAAAGTACAAATGCGGTACTTAATGATTTTGTTGACACTTAATATTAAAATTAAAATTTTATAATATTAGAATAACAAAACATATTTGTTTTGTTAAATAGATTGTGAACATAAAGGTAAACAGTATAATAATGGAGAAAAAATTAATAAATTTGACGAATCTGCTTGTAGAGTGTGTTTTTGCAATGGTGGAGAAATAGTATGCACTTCTATTGTATGTTATACTAGAAGTGATTGTCAAGGATATTATTTACCAGGAGATTGTTGTCCTAAATATGATAATTGCTCATCAACTTCAATAGGTATATAGGTATGAATATACTATTTAATAAAAACATATTTAATGAGATATTTTTTTTAGAACAAAAAGAAAAAGAATCAATGACTTCTAAAAAATCATATGGTAGAAAAATTGATAACTGGTCACATACTACAGAACATAATTTTAGTGAGGATGTTATTTGGAAAAGAGATACAGCAAAAAGTCAAAATCAAGAACTGACTACAGTTCCAAACTTTTTGACAACAATACCGATAACATTTTATGACCCTGAAAAAATAATTAAGGATATAAACACATCATTGCCTTTTTTTGAAGAATTAAATGCTTCGACAGTAAACTCAGTATTAGATAAAAATATTACTTTTGATGAAACAAATATCAAAATTGATAATTTAGTAACAGTGGGTGATATCAATGAAAGTTTAAAAACTTCATTTTTAGGTTTTGAAATTGATAATTTTACAACAGATGGAGAAACCACTGATACTAATTTTATAACAAACAATAAAACTTCAGAAATTATACCTCAATTTGAAGAATTATTTGATACTACGACAGATATTGATAATTCAGTGATAATAACAGACCAAAATGGTACTGAAACTATTATAGGATTGACGGAGGAACCAGTTACTGAAGAAATTATTAATTCAGTACCTAGAACAAGTAGTACACAGATTGAAATTTTTAATCCAAATGATTTAGTGTTAGATACAGAAAAACCATTTATTGAACTTTCTACTATAACTTCTGAAATAGATATTACAACTGAGATGGATTATGAAGAGTCAAGAGAAGCAACTACACCAAGACCACCCGATAAATCAACAATTGGTACACCTCAAAAAATAGTTATAGACACACTTCAAAAAACTATTGAGGATGAAATAAACATAGAAAATACATTTACAGATTTAGAAGATACCACAGATATGTTTGGACCAAACTTTGGTGATAAAACACAAACACATCAAATTTATTTTGATTCAAATTCAGATAGTACACAAATAAAAAAAAATACTTATACAACCACATTTTTACCAACCATAAAAAATATGAAAGAAATAACCACTGAATATCTTCAAAATGAACTATTCAATCAATCATTAATAAATTCAAATATTGAAAATATGAAAAATAATATTTCAGAAAACATAAAATATGATCCAGAAAATATATCTATTAATACAAATAAATCAACTGAAACGTACAATAATACTAGTTTTCTGAAATTAGAAACAAAAAATACTACTTCATGTGTAAATAGTAGTTGTACTAATTCTTCAAAACTAAATGATGAACTATTTCACTCTCAATTAGAGCCAACTTCAACTACTCCTTTTATTATTGAAAAAAAATTATTACCAATCCAAGACTCTCTTCGTTCAGTTATTAAAAAAATTACATATCCTAAAGAATATCCTGATGAATTTGAAACAATACAAAATGGACCATCTTTAACTATTACAAAAAAAACATACACAAGCATTCCAGACATAATTTATACGACAACAACAATGGTTACACTACCAACTTTAGAATTAATTTATAAAGCTGATAAAGAAATTGAAAAATATTTATCTGGAATTCAATCAACAACTATTAAACCAAGTAATGGTTTACGCCCACTTCGAAACGTATCATTTTAAATCCAGCTTAAGAGTAGTTTAATTTATAGAATGGTTTTATAATTACATTAAAAAAAGTTTGAAATCTATGAATACCTACTCAGTTTCTAACTGGTGATTTGAATAATATTATTTACCATTGCAAATATAAGCATCTGTGGATCTACAGCTGTTTTAATGCTATAATAAAATCATTTTAATTTTTAACTTTCTTCATTATAAATGTGTATTATGAATAATATTTATTGTTCTTAAATATATTTTAGTATGAACTAATTATTAAAAATATATCTATTATAGATGAATCGTGTAAAGATAATTTATATTGTAATTTATTCTATTATGTTAAATAGTATTTTTCCCATTTGTAACTAAACAGTAGAAAGAATATAATATAAAAGTATTCAACAAAATTGTTTTTAAATACAATATAAATTGTGTTTATAAATCATGCATATTGTACACTCAGTAATCTGAAGACTATAGAAAAATTATAAATTGTTGAAAAATTTAACAGAGCCAAAAATAACACTGACATGTACCTAACCTAACGAAGAGGAAAATATCAATAGGTGTATTATCTACAATAAAATTTTTTTTCAGTAAACATGCACCAAAGTATATGAGAATAATATGAGTAGAATATAAAGATAATTTTTATGTGAGTATTCTTAATCAAATGTTAGGTTAGGTATAATTTTATTTTTAAAACAAAATTGTGGTAGAATTCAATAAAATATCATAAAAAGTAGGTCAAAATACCTAATAATAATAAATTAAAAGTATAATACATAAATAATTAATCATATTATTCATTTTTATTTGGAATAATATTGTAAAATTAGTTAACAGGTTGTATAATATTTATGACGTAAAAAAAAAAAAATGTCAAACATATGAGTAGGTTAGTACATTAAGGATTATTTAATTTTATTGGCACACTGCATTTTTAATAAAACTTAAATAAGTCCCATACTTTAATAATATAAAGTTAAATTTCTCAATAAAATCCAATTTATTTTATATTTTATTCAGTTATACCTACATTAAGTAGATAAATAATAAATATATTAGTATTCACAATATATACTTATATTGCAGAATATTGATATAAAATGCTTTGAATGCTTAAGATATATCCACTTAAGTTTTAATAAATTTTACCAATAATAATTACCTACAATCAAAAAATAGAGTAATTTTTATTTCAAGTTTACAGTCAAACCGTACATATATTTAATGTGGATGATTTTAGCAGTATATCAATCTTTATTATTCTTAAAGAAGATATGGTAGTATGATACAATCAATTTTCATAACTTTATAACACTAAAATATTATTTTAAATAGTAGCTAGTAGGTACTTTTATAAAATAAATATAGAGAACTACAAAAATAAATTAGTTATTAATTTAATAGATAGAATTTTTTAGATATACTTATGTCCTAAATATTTAAATTTATAACCAATAGCTTTTTGGTTTCTGGGATTCTAAAGTTTATCATTTGCATTTTAATTTGAAAAATCATATTCTTAAATCAAATTCATAAATTGTATAATAGAATGTTTATTGTTGTTTTCTAATAGGACTGTAAGGAGTAAATACTCAAAAAATATACATTTACGCTTTTAAAGATTCAATATAAATTTAGTGTATTTCTTTGAACTGATTAGTTTAAGTATTTTCATTGAGTTTTAAATGCAATGATTTGATTGTTACAGATTAAATATAATAACCTTAAAATTGGTTTGAAATTACAATTCAATTTGTTTTTTTTAAATTTTAGATTAAAACTTATTTTAAAGGCATAAATAATTATGTAGCTAGGTAGTGCATGAGTTAACTTATAAATAAATATTTGACGAGTATTTAGTTAGCTATAAATCAGGTATATCTTATACTTATAATTAAAAAATTCCCATTAATTATCAATAAATTGTATGCTATAGATTTTGAATAGTTTGATCTTTAACATGAACTGAATAGGTAGTGGATTTTCATTTTAATATCCAATTAGGTATTGTTAATAGTTTAAATTCTATGAATATTTTTTTGATAAGTATTTTAAATTAAATGAGATAATATAAATAAAATATTTTCTCATAGAGTACAATACATTTAATAAAATATTATAGTGTATGTTTTTTAGATGACTGTAGCCTTAATATTCTAATAACGATTCTATGATTTACTTACTTGTTTGTTATTATAATTAGTATATCCTGAGGTTTGGAAAGTGTATAACATAGACAACGAAGTTAATTATTCATTATTGACGTTAAAACCGTAGTCAATAAAAAGAGTAAACAAAAATATAAGCAAGTTTGAAAAATTGATAAAAACAACTCACAAGGTAAATTATTAAACTTGAACAAATGTTTAACGAGTTAAGATGATATCCCTAACTAGTAACTAATAACTAAAATTTATGTATGAGATTGGTCGCACTAATACAAAATTGTAAAATTTCTAAATACTCAAAATTTAAAATACTGAAATTAATTACAACGTAAACAATGGTGAATGAATAAATCAAAATCATATACTACCCGAGATAACCGAACTGTTAGTTTTGAAAAATAACCGTCTGAACAGCTAGCGTGACCAACCTAAATATATAACGTAGTAAAGTTATCGTATGTGAAAACCAGTACCATTAGTATTCAGTACCGACTATTTTAATGATACTATACTGATGACCGAGTATAGTCAATACTGTCTGTACTGTACTATAATATAGCTGGTGTTCCGTGCACGGGTTAAGATGGTTATTACTTTATTAGAATTTAAGATACACCCTAAACGGCTTAAACCGTGATTCCACGTCCTTGTTTCAACTTGCATTCCAATTATCGTAATATATCTAGCTGGAGCATGCGCAGTAGTTTTGACGTTCCACAACACTTATACAGTAAGTTATGTTGTTATAATATAGAAGAAGCGCAAATTCAACTTTCAGACGTTAGTTTCAACACGTCATTAGACCAGTTTTCGGATTGGTTTCTGACAGTCGAAACGATCCGCGGATTCGAATGAGGACGTGGATTCCTGAAGTCATAGATACTGTTTACGCACAAACGCACTTGAGACTTGAACAAAATTCAGAGTCCATTATCCATCCGTGCGCATGCACAGTTATTCAATCATAATATTATTAATATTATATCAGTCGATACTTTAAATAAGTAGTTCCGAACTTAGAGTATGTTAAGTACCTAATATGTGAGTAGCGACAACGGTTTTTTATCTCTGAAAAATAAATTTTTATTTTTTTATTTTGTAGAATAACCGTAACATTAACAAAAACGGAATATAATATTATGTAAATTAAAAAAAAAAATGAGCACGATCTTTTATTTAATTATGTCTTGAACATCAATATTATTCTATTTATTTTTTACAGCCATAAAAAAGAATGCATCTAATTGTTATTTATATGAACAGCAAATTATTCGCTACTGGCCCTGGTTCACTGGGAAAGTTCCGATGTCATACCGCCTACCGAATTTAAAGGCATGGTCAACCATGAATAAATAATAAATAGTAATCGAGTACTTGTATCAATTTTTACCAGTAATAAGTATAAGTCAGAAGTTGATATACTAAGTAATGTCGGGCAATTCTATCATGAGCGTTAAAAGAAACGCATTGAAGTCTTCGTTTGTTAGTATTTTTACAAATTCTACATAATATTATGTAATAATATATTACGAGTTACGACTATACTAAATCTGTATCTTATGCTTTAATTAAGTAATTAATTTTTTTTTTTTTTATTCATCATTTGCCTATTAATTTCTTTTGAAATACCTCATATTAGGGTTTGGCATGTAATTATGGTGTACCTATTTCAATAGCGTAACTATAATTTTTTATGTTCATTTTTTAGATTCTAAGCACAGTGATGAATGCATTAATTTACAATGAAGTGTATTTATACAATAGAAACAATGTTTCATTTTTAAGCTTTGCAGGTGGGGTTTAATAGAAAATTGAATAGTTGGTACTTTTTGAAGGTGCAAAACCAGTTTTTTATGAAGTTGATTTTGTTTTTGTTATAACTCACAAATAAATAACTGTCTAATTGTAGACGATAATAAAACTTATAATTTTTACAAAATATTTATGCGATAAAGATGCGGCATAATTTAAATGATATATATATTTCATCATTTGATGTTTGAAAATTTGATGCAATATAACAATATACTTTTTTACTATAAAATATAAAAAAAGAATAGCTTAATAGTCGATAATACGTATAATATTAGTTTATTTATTAATAATTTTTTCATTAAATAATTTGCGTATTTATAATAAAATATAAATGGGCAAACACGAGTACTTATTTATATTTTTATTTTGACATAATACATTAAATCAGTCATCATAATGTATCTATTTAAAGTTATTAATGAATTAACTTAACAAAACAGCTATTGATTACAAAGTTTGCCTAAAACTTATTACAAAAAAATTTTTCAGTTACGTAAAAGTTGATTTCAAGTAAATTTATAAAATATAAAAATGTATAAAGCTTACTATAATAGATTTAAGTAGGTACTTATACTTAAAATTTATAAATATTAAAGTCTACGCAATTAATCAATTACATAAAAATTGTTTAGGTATTTGCTTATTGTTGTTAAATGTTCATATATTTCATTTTTTTATGTAACTTTTTATCTATATAAATATATAATATGTGATACATAAATATACTAAGTAGATGGTACCTATTATAGTCTATACTTTATATGGTACCTATAGATAAGCATTGTATTTTTGCATTTGTTTTAGATTGTGGATATTTTAAGTATTTAACATATTAGATACAAATAACAATAGCTGGTTTCTCTTCTAGATGATTTATTTCTAATACTTCAACTAAGTAAATGAGTAAGCTACATTAATATTTTCTTTTTTACTATAATTATTGATACTTATAAATTAGCAATAGTCGTGCGCACAACGATAAAATTGTTATATTATTTTGTATGATTTTTAGAAATTATTATTTTACTAATAAAAGATGTTTTATATTTTTAATAATGTTTTGATGCATCAAATATTAATATTGAAAACACCTCAGTTTTTTGGAAACTTACATCGAACAAAATTAAATGAATATCTACTGACATTGACACGTGCGTATTATGTTTAATGAAAGGTTTTTCATAAATTATCCTAGAGAAAGTAATTTAATTCACTACTGACAGTACTCCCACTTGAGTACTTGCATCACATGATTTGTTTTAGTCCTCTTATAAAGCACTGAGTTCTTTCGTTATATTATGACTTCCGAGTCGACACTTCGAAGATAACAAACGTTTTATTTACTCAGGTAAACTATATTTATTTATTTTATTTTAATAATTTTGATACTTAACCATAATAAACAATGATGATTATTAGGTATAAAATATCATATTTAACTAAACTTAACATCATTAATTTACTTAATTATTTTTGTAATTGTAAATTTAACTGAAATTCAAACAGCCATTAATCGATTTATTAGTAAATATTATACTATAATCATGTCTAAATATTTAAATGTTTCAACAAGTTACTATAAACACAATTGAAAATGAATGAATGAAGTTTATATTATAAGAATATTTTTGTTGGTTTTATAAATGAAAAAAAATAATTTATATTTTATTAAACAGTTTAAATGTTTTATGGATACATTTTTTTGATTGATATAATTTACAAATAACTTATAGATATGGTTATATCATTTATTTTTTAAAAATATTTTTCGTTTTATAAATTGAATATATATTTTAGTATTGATTAATTAAAGTATATAGGAAAAGGAAACAATCTTAATAATTTTTATTATTAAAAATATATTTTTTTATATGTACTTGAACTTTAATAGTGCTTAAGCATTGTTAATACTTATATATATTACAATAGCTTATTATTTTTTAAGGACCATTACTATCTGAGCCTTCTATATGTATGATTGTTAAATAATAATGTTTTTAAATTTTACTGAGCCATCATAAGCATTATTTTATTGAAAATTATTTTACTGATTAGAGATTACCTAGGAGAATGTTACTCTAGAAATAACGTTCATATCCAATTTTGCGTCATTTTATTTTTTTTTTTAATATTAGGTAAGAACATTATCTATGTTTATACGATTTTTAATTTTTATTTAAGTTATAAGTATTTTTAAATTGAAATATTGTTTAAAAATTAACTCGTCGTAAAAACTAACGTAAAAACATAGATATTATTTTAACTTTAACTTTGTATATAATATTTGTATTCGTTTTAATATTAAAGCTAACAATTCAAAATTTGTTTTAACGCAAATTTGTTATGTTGTTCTCTACTATGGATAGTATAAACAATAATTGTACGTTTCAACATTTGTAGGACATAGTCAACATATTTAGAAGCCTTGGGATGAGTCATTCTCTTAACACTGTATTATATATTAAGATGATATAGTAGTTTTGATAATCTGGAATTGCATCAGTTCAGCATATTTTTATCGCATCCCACTATAATTTTATTTTTAGATTATATAGTTGGAATTTCTGTAAAAATTATAGACTTGTCGGTGATAATTATTATATGATATCTACCTGAATAAATTGGATTTTTTCATGATTACTTATCGATAAAATCTTATTAATTTCATAAGTATATATACGTACTTCAATTTAGTTCATATTTTTACGTCTATCTATATGCGTGTTTTTTAATGAATTTTGTTGTACATTTATATTTTATAATTTAAGTATTGATGTTTTTAATTTTATACGTGAATAATAAGGTATCCAAAAAATTAAAATGTAAATAAATAAAAAAATGTTTTTTTTATTCGATTTTTACTAATATAAAATGTATTTGATAACAAAATCATATTAATATATTTATTTTTTGTTCATGAGTCTTAGTATTTAAAAATTGATAAATATGTTTACCTATTTAATTTGGATTATACATTTGATCTTAGATTTCGTCATTGAAATATTTATTTTTCTTAGAATTTTTAGATTATGAAATATATAAGTCAGTGGGGGCTTAAAATACAATATAATATTATATAATTATAAAATTTAATATGCGTATACTATATACCCATAAAAAGTGTTTGGCATGAATGTATAATATATTAATATACAATTATGTATACTGTATAGTAGGTAATAGTATTGCATATTGATATTTATATGTTATATTGTTATACCTATCAATTATAATAATTGAATTTACAAGCATGTTGAATCATGGCATAACGAGTTTTTTTAAATATTTTTTCCTCCGCTAGAACTATGCATTCATTTATGACCATTGTGGTTTTGGGCACGTGCATGATGGCCGTATGCCTGGCAATGCCTCAAGGATCTAAAGACGGAGCTATTTTCACAAACGAAGCCATCAGGCAAGCACAAAGTACACATCTTATACCGCAAAATGCTCAGATTCAGAAGGTTCAAGAAGGTGTAGAGTTGGTTGCATACGAGTCGATACCTGGTTCACAGGCCATCAACCTGTTCGAGATTCTCGGCGACCACGTGCCTCCAGAAGTAGTTAGCAACCTGCAAACCCAAGTTGATCAAGTTGGAAAACAATGAAACGATTGTGTAATTTGATTTGATCTATATATAATAATATTTCGTTTGTCTTCCTAAAATAAGTCGAGTCACTCGCGTCGACTGCAGTCCGAATAATAATGTTTTTATATTTTCTAATATTTTTCAACGTTGAGATCTAATACACACATTATGCATTTACGTGATAAAATTCTTATGCAACAATGTTATCGATTAGTTTTTAACAGAGAAAGTATTTTTATTTTTCGACGTAAGTGCTTTCACCCACTGTTTCATTATTATTAATACTATTTTTTTATTTTTTTTTTGACAAAGTAAATTTAATATTTTATTATACATTACCTTCATTTACTTTCTATGCACGGATAATCATTATTTAATATCAGTACCTACATGCCCTAAAGGTGTTACAAAAAATAAACATGATCTGATTTAATAAATTTATGATGTAGGTAACTATATACGAATATATTATTAAACTGTGTTTATATGTTATCACAAAATAAAGAATAAACGTGTATAATTTATTTTAATAATTTAAATGTTTATTTATTTATTTACAGCTCCAGGCTTTTAGTTTAGAAAATGCCACTAAAAAATTATTTAAATATAAAAATTTTAAATGTGCCGTGTACTCATGTGTATTTATACTTTTAAATATATTACAATATAATAGTAACACAAACCATAGATGATACATTGAGTTTTGTCATCAAAATGAACTGTTCAATTTGGTTATTTTTACTTAAACTATAAATATCATATAAATGAAAATCAAATTGTTGAACGATATTCATAATTATGATTGGAGTAAGCTTCAAAATATATGTTAAATGTAGGAAGTTCAGTATACTTGTGTGTTAGCGTAGAATACCAATAACGATTCGTATTCTGCACTCTGTAATGAAATCTAGAAAAATAGTGTAGATAAATGATAGTATGATAGAAAAAATTTGTGTTTATGTATTTTGATTTAAATAATTTAATAGGCAATAAGTTAGTATAATTTAAATAAATGTTTCTTTTATAAAACATAACTGTTAGTCAAAAGATACTATGATCTTGGTCGTATAATAATAATTTACTATTTATCAAATTATAAATCATCGTTATGAAGAATAGACTGGCTTACCATATTTTAGTTTTATTTCCATGAAAGATGTACCTAGGTATAGTATAAGACATAAGTATATAAGTATATAAATTAAATATAATTAAAAATGGTTTGCAACGTTTTGAATCTGTTCTTAGTATCATGTAAATATTTAATATTCCTTTAATCTAAAATTATTTGATAGTGAAAGTAATGATATTTATTATAGTATTTGATATTCAAGGCGATCATGAGCCACTGAACCCAGTCAATTTATTCAACATACATATCTACAATTTAGATGTATAGCTTTGTAATTAATGGTAGTAGCCAGTAGGTATAAAAACTACAAGCAGTATAAACTATAAAATTGATTTTATTATGTATCTTATTAATTTTCTCGTAATACATATCGTAGCAATATATATTTATATTAACAATTAATTTTTATAATATTTTATGGTTCGTGTGATGGTCAACATTTTGGTAGCAGCAAGGAGCAACTCAAGTAAAATTTTTTATACTTATTAGAGAAAGCAAAATTATAATAACATGTAGCAGTAAAACATTATTTCAATGACTAGTATAAGTTTTGATGTGTTTTAAAACAAAGAAATTGTTTGTAGGCAATACGTAAGTATGTAATAAAGACGAAAAATTAACATAATTTCTGCACACAGGAATTATTCCATAAATAACATCATGACTTTAAGCTTTCACTCGAACCCGTGACCAGATATTAATATTATCATTGAGTATTCATAAACATATATTACTGTTTAATGTTTATACTTTATAAAATATATACCAAATGCTATTACTTTCCGTCATGAAATATAACTTTCATAGAGTTTACTCGTAAATATCCTTAACTATGTTTTTAAACATATATAGACACGCCAAATGGTTATAAACTTTCTCTATTTTTCATTTTTAACCTTTCTTAACCTATGTTCTATTATGTACGATATATTTTTTAAACATATTATAACGGATATGTAAATAATGTATGTATAATGAATACAAATTGTATCTATCTGTTTTGTGAAATGATATATCATTTTAGTTATAACTATTATGTTAGTCTAAAAGGACGTAAATTTCGCATAAATGTTATCTTCATCTTACAAACATATAACATAGCAAATTTGTATTCAGTAGAACCAATTGTGTTCTTATAACTTTAATAATATTAAAGAAAATTGACTTAATACCAAAATTAATGATAAAAATATTATTAACTGCACTTAAGTTTTGATTTTTTTTTGATATTTAAATTTTTAAGCAAAATTTAAGTATTATAAATATTTTTGCAAATTAAAAATGCACATATCTAGTTTAAAAATTAAAGCATCGAAAAAACCAATGCTGAAGTTTAGATACTGCTCTTACATTTAGTTTCGATAACAGACCAATATATTCTAATATAAAACCTAAGAACAAACAATTGGTTCTACTGAATGTAGTACGTTTGTATAAAATGAAGATAACATATGCAAGTTTAGCATCCTCTTGATGTAAATTTGTTTTAATATGCTTAGATACACCGTCTGTATGAATGTTTATTATAAAAATATTTTTTAAACATAAAATATCTATTTTATTATAAATTACATATTAATCCAGTTAAAAATATAATAATGGAAGCTATATCTCATTTATAAGTATATTTAGAAGTTACAAAAAATTAAAATTTGAATGATTGAATTGCTAAAGAAAAATAGTGGTGTCTGAATGAGCATACTTAGAACTACACTGTAAAATATTGATATTCAAATAATAAAAATAAGTACTTATATATCTTTATTTTAATAGCATATTATTATCTTGTTATAATTAGGATTAGGAATCTACTTAATACTATTTTCCTATAAGCATTTCATGAAAAATTATTCATTTAGGTGGTCTACATTTATAAAGAAAATACCTACATTACCTAAGTGTAAAACAATAGTTTTCATTTTACAAAATGTTTATGATTTTTATTAAAAATAGTAAATACATCACGTTTTGATTAAAGCATTTGACATTGTAAAGGATATCTATTTATATAAAAATTCAATTAAACTAATAAGTAATAATATTATATACATTTTATAAATGTAATATAAATATAAACTATTATAAAACATGAAATTTTAATTATATATTTTATAGTTTACAATTTAAGACAATTTATTATAATAATTTAATAGTTATTAAGTCAGAGTGAAATTTCGTTTCAAATCATTGACAAATGACAATTATATCTTTTGGTTAATAGATTTAATAGTAATTACATTGGGTTAATTTTTGATTCAGAATTGTTCTCAAAATACTTTTTAATTACATAATTTATTAAAATCATAAAATTATTTTATTTAAATTTATTAAAATGCATAATAAATTATCTTAATATTAATATTAGTTTAAATAGTATTAAGTATGTATAATGTATATACTATATAGTATATTCACATTGTACAATTTTGTTAATATTAATGAAGTTACTTAGATAGATATACAGAAATATTATTTAAAAAAAAACTAACATCATTTTTAAGAAGCTACAATTTATATGTGATTTCCGCTTTCCTCCTATAAAGACGTATCTGGGCTAAACATAAGATTATTTCTGAACATCTTAGAGTTAGTTTTTGGTAATAAAATGTGACATATACGTACCATCAAGTTAGGTTGCTTATACACCAGAATTAAGGGGAAACTCAAAACTGTATAATATTTTGTTAATATTACTATAATTTTAAACTGATAGCTATGTAAAATATTAAAACTTTAAAATGCTCATAACTCACTTTAAAATTATGATATTAATAAAAGACTATATGATAGCCTAGATAAAATTCTTACCTTCAGTTTAGTAAATTTACTCTAATATCATAAAATGGACTCTGCTAAATGAAAATTTGCTATGTTGTATGTATGTAACACGGAGATAACACATGCGGGTGCGGCGTCCTTTTAAGAAAAATTATAATATTTTTTATTTTAGTAGAATTAATAAAAAGAACAATATGATTAGTTAAATTTTGTTAACCTGTAAAATAGATCATTTATTGAAAAATGTAATCGAAATGAATGATTAGTATTTAGTAATTCTAAAAGATTCATTGAAATCAACAATGAAATGATCAAATTTTTAATACCTAACTAAAAAAATGAAATACATTTTTGTGTTATTTAAAATCATCTATTTAATTTAAATTTTTATGAAATACAAATGCAAACATTATTTTATTTTTATTTTGTGTATTTCGATAAACAAAAAAAAAAAAAGTATTACAAATTTTAAGTTTAACGTATAGTTTATGTTCTCTTATATACATAATATTTTACAACATTTATCAGTATTGTTCAACATTTATATTAAAGTATAAATTACTAAAATATAAATAAGTAACTAGAAAAAAGTATTATTATTATTATTAAGGACAATTCCGGTGAATGGTAATACACCTGGACTAGTGATGGATATGAAGGTGGGTTAAATAGAGTAATCGTTCTTCTTTATCTCACTTTTTTTTTTTAAATTTTTCAATCTTAATATTATTTTATGACAAATTTATTTACAAAAAATGTTTTTCCATATTTTCCTATTGTTTATAATGTTCTTAGCTCTATGTAAGAAATTCCTATTGCGTTCTTCGTTGTTTGGCTTATATGTCTTATTTTGGATCTTCCTCTTGAATTATTGATCTTGTTTCTTCTATCTTGAATTATTAAACTGTATAATTCGTCATTATATCTTAAAACGTGTCTTATCATCTGCCTTCTAACTTTTTTTAGAGTACCTATTAATGTTCGTTTTTTCCAACTGTTATTCTTCCAGTCTAACTTTTTTCTTAAATCTTTTTCAAACACCAAGTTTTTAAAGTTTCTAATACATCTATTTATATTTTATTTATTTTTCACACCTCATATAATGTCATTTTCTTGACATACATTTTTATTAGCCTCCTTAGTAATTAATAATTATGTTCAAATTTTTTTGAGGAAATTATTTCTCGCTTATTTTATTTTGCTTCTTATTTCCTTTTTTGATTTCTATAATTTGTTATAACTTTTAATGCTGTTCAAATACTTGAAATGTTTAACTATTAATTAGACTTAATATTAAGTTATATATAATTATACGTATAATTAGGGTACAATTGAATAATATGCTAATTACATTGGTATATAAGGTATATTACGATAATAGTTTATTATAAAGTTTAAAAAAAGCCGGTTGAATTAAACAACGAGTACTCTCTTTATCCTCAACGATGTATGTAATGTTAAATTCTAAATTAATTGATAAAGATCATGGCGTTCTAAAAAGGATTCAGTTCTAACTATACACGGATTTTGAAAAAATACACGGGTCACATGAGGTTTATACAGTAAT